TTCACTGCCCTTACTGTTCTGTACAGTAATACCAGGGATGTCTGGACACGTCGTATTTTTGCATGCATCTGGTTGAAAGCTTTGGCATCCGATGTTAGTATGAATCCGCGGCGAAGAGAGGACCCCTCTTAGAAATGTTAGATATATCAACAAAACAGCGATTCCAAATGTGGCCATTTTGGGCTTTACGGTGAATGGTTGTTGTATCAATTTCTGCTGAAATCTCTTAGAGGTAATAATTATGAGAGAGATTTTTCGTATGAAAGTGTTAAAAAGACAACGACTGAAAAGTGTAGGACTTTTAAAGCTCGTTGAAGTTCTTGGAATTTTTGCTCGCGCCAGTCGTCCTATAGAAAGGGATGAAAATGAAACAGTAAATATGATGCATACATGGTTTCAAAGCTCTCATACCCTAAACAACTATCTTAAGTTAAAATATGACACAAATGATACAGTGTCGCAAAAGGACGAGAGAAAAAGGAAAATTAAAATATGCAAGTCGTCCTTGAAAAAAACATGGAAGAATTTCATTTCCTTGTCCTCCACGTTGACATGTCCTTGTCCCCCGTGTAGTTTTCCATTGCAACTAATTGTCTTTCATGTTCTGTACTTTTAGAGTTACATAGCCTTTGATATCCGTTAGGTTCAGTAAAAACGCTATGTTAAACATATGCATATGCCTAGTATATGCTACGTAGTTTGTGCCCATTTCTATAGTTCGCAACGGTACATGTAACACTGATGCATTTTCCTGCTGTGAATTTGACCTAGTATGTTGTTATAAGAAAGGCCTTCCTATTTGCAAATATCTCTGGTCACAAATTCATGTAGCTACACACATTTTATCCGTACTGCATCTCCGTATTACCCGTATACGCACACTTCTAGTACACATACAATTGTCAGAACTGTCTTCTTTCAGATGTATGGTTCAATATAACTCCAGTTGAGCATAAAGAATTAGGTCATTCACATGAATTGGGCAGCAGAATGGAATTACTACTCCTTTAAAGTGGACATGATTGAAACATAGCAGAAGTGTTTCCTTCGGAACATTGCATCAAATGATACAAAATCATAATTCAGCCAATTATGGCTGCTTACAGGCTTTTGTATGTATGTACTTATATGGTACAAAAAAACAGTCTCAAACAGATCAATTCGATAGAAATGTGAAACTATTGGTTTTCTGAATAGTTTTACCTCAGGCTGCTTTCGAAGATCGAGGGTCGAACTTTGAGGATGCCCGGGGATATCGTACCGTCAGAGAAGTACTGGTAGACACTTTGATGCGGTCTGTGTGAAAGCGTACGGGAGTCCTGCCTCTATGCAAAGCTGGGACACAAAGAATGCATAAATTAAAAAAAAACGCGTACTGTCCTTTCGTAATGTATGAATTATGAATCTAGGTCAACATATCACAGACATCTCCTGATACACGTACACAGTGACCCATTTTCTATACATGTATTTTCAAATGATAGAGTTTTACAGACAATCAGTTACATAACAGAAAAAAAGTATGACAGAATATGGTTTGAAAGTTTTCATATCAACTAAAAACTGCACGTATTATGATAATTAACTCCAAATATACAATTTGCAAACTCTCTGTTAACGTTCTTGACACCGCGTTTCTGTGTCGTCCGGTTAAAATGTAATGTATGCTCACTTTAAGTCATTCCCGTCTTTGTTCACACCAATGCCCCAATTTATTTAAACGCAGTTTCAAAAGCAGAGGCCAGTATTATCTTCCAAAAGAACACATTTTCATTTTTACAAAATCAACCAAATTCAAAAAATTTAGTTTAATACAGATCATCAGGAACTAATAGAACTATATGTAGACTCATGTGAGGAGATGATAGGAATGATGCTCACCTTAACTATGGATTCCAGGTGAGTAAATTACTGAAGATGCATGTCATTTTTAAGCAGGAAAAATACTTGGATGTTAAACAAGGCTGAAAATGGATGAACAGCTTTACACAGACACGCACACATTATAAACCTTTGCAAGATCACCCAGTACTAAGTTCCAACTACATTTGACCTATCCTAGTAGTCACTGACAAATTCAAGACTCGTCGAAGCGTCCCTCTCTTCATTATCCTAATTCTCGTGGGTAGTATCTTCTCCATCTCTCTGATTGTAACATTTGCACTGTTCTGACCTGGATTTCGGACCGGCGACAGTATTCTCTCTAACACTACGCGACCTTTTCTTCCCACGGCCGTACTGGGCACCTGCCTTGGCTATCCCGTACGGGCTAACAGTTTCGTTGGCGTCTTCATCCTTTATCGTTGAGTAATATGGGTCAATAGAAGTGCCATCCGTGGTAGCTACTTCAGCCTGATTTTGGGGGGCATTGTCCGGTTGGTTGTTACTTCGCAATTCGTCCATCGCGTGTTCCTCCCTGTAGACATTCTGTTTATTCCGTAGAGCAATACAGACTACGAAGAGGACAAGAATCGGTACGATACACAAGGGAACAAAAAGGTACCAGTTTAGATTCAGATATGTCTGAACTCTCGTAGGAAGAAATACTATGATGGGGTGTGTGTGGGCTTTGGTGTTGACGACTGTTGAATGAGTGGGCGTACTTGTGCTACTTCTCTCAGATGTGACCAGCTTGTGTAACACATGCGGGGCACTGAAATTGTCTGGGAGAAGCATTCCAGCTTCGAGAGTGCCAGTGGACGACTTTACACCGCATCGGATAGATCTCCCTTGCCACTGTCCGGCAACTGCTCCAGCTACAACTAATATAGACACCGCCCTGACCGCATAGGTTGGAGCTGTCTGATTGTGTAAGCAATTTGTAGTTACACGGGACGGCGTCTCCCATGTCCATCCACAAGCACTTATGTCGTGTTGGAATGAAATGTTGAAGTGCTGAGATGTCAGGTTGGCGTTTCGCTCATCCTCACCTAAATCCGGCAACACAATAGTAGTGTTATCTGGTAGGACCCAGAAGACACTGCTCTCTTCTTCTTCCCACGTCGCCTGGCACCGAAACTGTAAATCATGATCATCAATGTCCTGCGTAATCTTCACCACTGGTGAGGGGCATGGCAAGTCATTTGTGGGAATAGAGAAGATGTCTTCGCCCACCATCTCCAGTGGGTAGTAGCAGGGTAAACTAGATGGGATTAGAGAAAAGTAAGTCCTGCCACGGGTTGCGAACCAACGATTTGCACAGGTACAGCGTAGTTTAGTTCCTTCCCAAAACAGCAACAGTTTTCCTTTCAATCCTCGTAGCCAAGACTCCCACAGAACCGTCAACGGGTTTTCTTTCAAGTCTAATACAGATAAGCCCTCAAGACTACGAAAGACTTCTGACTCCATAACGGTTATCATATTTTCATCTAGAGCTAACCTGGTCATGCGTCTTGTGCCGAAGAACCACTCACTTTCCACCCTCTTCAATTTGTTACCCCTCAGACAAAGTACGCTCAAAGACCTGTTTTGAAAAGCGCCTTTCTTGATGATCTCTATCTTGTTGTAAGACAGGTCCAGCATTAGCAACATTGGCAATTTTTCGAAATAATGTTGCTCAACCTTCTCCAGTTTGTTGTATGAAAGGTAAAGCCTAGAGGTGCGAACCAGGCCCTGAAAAGCTCCACGATGAATTGAGGAAATATGATTAGATGATGCGTTTAAGTGAAACACATTACTCAAACCAATGAACCCACCACGAGCTAAATAGCTCAATGATGTCTGGCGAATTTGCAACCGCTCTAAGTGTTTGAACCTCACCAGACCCGATGTTGCCAGTCTCGTCAGGTTCGGCCCACGAATGTCTAAAAAGCGAATGTTTTGTAGGGTATCACCTGGGCCCAAATAAACAGAAAGATCGGTTGATGCTGTTTCAGTGAGTTTAAGCGACAAGGTAGTGGGTGGAATGGCACAAGCAAGTGACTTGAAATCCTTGAATCCTGACATACTACAAACGATACATCTACGGTACATGGTGTCTGCTGGATTGACGATGTCAGGACAGGTCGTATCTTTGCAGGCACCTCTTCGAAAGCCTTGGCAGTTAGTATGAACCCGGGGAGACACAACACCTCTTGGAAATGTTAGATACACTGACAAAATCACGATAACAGCTCTAGTGCTCATTGCAGATGTAGTCATATTGCACGATGATCTGAAATATTCCCTATTCAATCGGCGTTTCACAGTCTTTGTATGATAGTTGTGCCAATTTCTGGTGGTAATAATGGGGCTTCTCTTGTACCAATTCTGATACAGAATATTTCCCAGTATGGGACAGTAGATGCCTTATATCAATGTTTTGAAATGGACAACAACTGAAAGGTGCCCGACTTTTAAATATGTATCAACTGTCTGCTACCGGTAGATGACTACAGTAGGTGTCCTGTAGAAAGGGATAAGAATAAAACATTAAGAACGATATACATACATGCATACAAGCGTGGTGTATAATGCCTATACCCAAAACAACTATCTTACACAAATACTACAATGTTGCAAAAGCACAATGGAGTGCTCTCAAGATGCATCTTCATTGGTCGCCTTTCCTTGCCTTGAAACGAAAACATGTCATCCTTGAAAAGAGCATTTTATGTCCATGTGGTTTCCCACTGCCATCAAATTGTAAGTCATGTTCTGTTTTGAATTTTGTTGAAATTTTCTGAAATATTTTGTTCATATCCAAAATGCCCAGAGGTCGCAAAATGCATTACAACTGCTTTTGAGGAATTGACTGCGTACTGACTAAGGAAATTGTTACTTGTTTTAGGTGAACATGTTTAAAACTTAGAAGTGCGTTTGCTGCTATAGAGCATTGCGTCAAAGTGCACGCACAGTATTTCAGTGCAAAAATCTATAACTATTGATTCTGTGAATAGTTTTACCTCAGGCTGTTTCCGAAGATCGCGAAGGTCGGACTTTGTAGTATGCCTGACAAGGTCGTACCAAGTACTCGTAGTCTCTTTGTCTGTGCGAAAAAAAACACGCCAGCATATATACGGGTATTCCGCCGATCTGCAAAGCTGGGACACAAAGAATGCATAGATTTCAAAATACGCAGCCCTGTCTTTACGAAATGTATGAATTATGAATCCAGGACAACATATCACAGACCTTTTAGATACACCCACACAGTAGATCTTTATAATATTTCCAAATAAGAAATTATTATTTTTCAACCTTATACTAATCAGTTCAGACCATCAACTACTTTAAAAAAGAGTAGAAAGAACAGAATGTGGATTGAATTTTCTCATATCAAATAAATCTACACAGATCTCAAAGAAATCAGATTCAGCGGGCATTTCTTTTGTTACATTAGATTTATATTTATTTAAATCTACACATATTAGAGGGTTTGAATTAACTTACGGGCAGTTGCCAATCTGGATATATATCGTAATAGTGCTAATGCTGATACAAACTTTCAGTTCTAGACACGTTGCGTTTCTAGGTCGTCAGGTTATGACTTTATTCATGTTCAAGTCATCCCCATATTTGTACACACCATTTTCCCATTGCATCTGAAATCAAAGACCTGACATAGCATTCCATTAGATGAAGTGAGTAAATTATTCCACTGCCTCAAAAGAAAAAGTTAAACCCAACAAAACTACACATGTGTTACTGACTAAAATGTAATACAAAGTTGGACTTCGTGTCTTATATCATAGTACTTTTTCACACATGTTGTTTACACCTGCAAGTACTGCTCAGGCACGTAAGTTTTCCAATAAACTAACCTTTATGGATATCCGATTCACATATCTGATACGACCACTAGATGGTTTACTTTCATACATTTGTCTGAATCCTGTAGTAAATACTGAAAAAGACATGTCTAACCCTAGACTTCTCCCACCAGACTAAATTGCTCGTCCAAATGTCGCCTATGTCCTTACAAATTTGCAAATACGTCATTTTTGGTAGTGACGTAGATATTAAATATGTACATGATTAAAACCCACTGTTTGCGAGTTAAATGATTGTATGAATAATGGATCTAAGTCAACAAGCATCATGGACCAAACAAACGTGCATCCTTAGAGCAACTATTTTGACACGTGAGAGTGTTAAGAAGGTTGACAAAGATCTTGTAATCTGAAATGACAGTCTAAACTGCACAAGACCATACGTACGTACTGTAATGTTGTCTGATATTGTTGACTATATAGACTATAGACTATAATAGCTGCTGCATCGTTGTGCCTACATAATTTTTTGTTTGTTTTTAAATCCTGTAAGTATTCCTATTCGGGGGAAGTGTGTCGTCTAGTTCTCTGATCACAACAGATACAGTGCTGAGTCTCAGGCCTGTTATAAAGTTCTCCCTTCTTCTTCCAACTGCCTTTGACCCGTTCTAATAGGCCCTACTGCCCCACGAAGAATTCTATGAAGCGTCCCGCTCTTCAGTATCATTGTCGTGGGTAATATCTTCACTATCTCTCTGATTGTAACATTTGCACTGTTCTGACCTGGATTTCGGACCGGCGACAGTGTTCTCTCTAACACTACGCGACCTTTTCTTCCCACGACCGTACTGGGCACCTGCCTTGGCTATCCCGTACGGGCTAAGAGTTTCGTCGACGTCTTCATCCTTTATCGTTGAGTAATATGGGTCAATTGAAGTGCCATCCGTGGTAGCTACTTCAGCCTGATTTTGGGGGGCATTGTCCGGTTGGTTGTTACTTCGCAATTCGGCCATCGCGTGTTCCTCCCTGTAGACATTCCGTTTATTCCGTAGAGCAATACAGACTGCGAAGAGGACAAGAATCGGTACTGTACACAGGGGAACAAAAACGTACCAGTTTAGATTCAGATATGTCTGAACTCTCGTAGGAAGAAATACTATGAAGGGGTGTGTGTGGGCTTTAGTGTTGACGACTGTTGAATAAGTGGGCGTACTCGTGCTACTTCTCTCAGAGGTGGCCAGTTTGTGTAACACATGCGGGGCACTGAAATTGTCTGGGACAAGCATTCCAGCTTCGAGAGTGCTAGTGAACGACTTTACACCGCATCGGATAGAACTCCCTTGCCACTGTCCGGCAACTGATTCAGCTACAACTAATACAGACACCATCCTGACGGCATAGTTTGGAGCTGTCTGATTGTGTGAGCAATTTGTAGTTACACGGGACGGCGTCGCCCATGTCCATCCACAAGCACTTATGTCGTGTTGGAATGAAATGTTGAAGTGCTGAGATGTCAGGTTGGCGTTTCTTTCGTCCTCACCTAAACCCGGCAACACAATAGTAGTGTTATCTGGTAGGACCCAGAAGACACTGCTCTCTTCCTCATAAGTCGCCTGGCACCGAAACTGTAGATCATGATCATCAATGTCCTGCGTAATCTTCACCACTGGCGAGGGGCATGGCAAGTCATTTGTGGGAATAGAGATGTCTTCGCCTTCCATCTCCAGTGGGTGGTGGCAGGGTAAACTATCAGGGATTAGAGTAAAGTAAGTCCTGCCATGGGTTGCGAACCAACTATTTGCACAGGTACAACGTAGTTTGGTTCCTTCCCAAAACAGCGTTGCGGGTCGCACTAACCCCCGTAGCCAAGACCCCCACAAGATCGTCAATGGATTGCGTTCCAAGCTCAATATGAATAAGAGCTCAAGACTGCGAAAGGCTTTTGGCTCTATAACGGTGATCAAATTTTCATCTAGAAATAATTGTGCGCCTATATTTCTTATGCCGAAGAACCAGTGACGTTTCACCCTCTTCAATTTGTTACCTCTCAGACAAAGTTTGCCGAAAAAA